AAGGACCTGAGAGTCACTTACATACTTATGGTCCTAGTTTTGTAGTTTTGTATTCGGGAGAATATTTGGTCACTATAGGTACACAGAACTTTGGGGTGAAAAACATCCGCATCTGACCCCCAACCACCCTTAACCCTAAACCCTAAACCTGCAGAAAAGCCTACGTCGAGGGCAGCAGTGGGAGACGGCTCTGCTGCTGCTCTTTGGGATGCCGAAGAGAGCCCTGAGGCCAGCCCTCCTTAAGGTGCTAGGGCAAAGTTTAACGGTATGGGTCCTTAGTAATTGAGCTGGTACGGCTTCGATAACGATAACGGACGGTTTAGGACACGCCTATTGTGGCCCTCCCGGCTGTGGTGAACTATGTATTTTCTTGCTTTCCAATGGTGAGAATCGAACCAAAATACAACCCGCATGGAGCCTGGCAAAGCTTTTTGAACCTTTCAATACCGAACCGAACCCAAACCTGCCATGCTATATACGAAACCCTAAGCCCTAAACCCTCAACCGCAGCTAGCCCTAAGTCTTATAAACCATAGGAACATCGTGGTAACGCTCGAATTGACACTACTCGTACAAACCTTGGCAAAGTCTGTGAAGCTCCATGCACATCTGTGAACTGCCGATAGTGTCAAATTCTACATAACTCCAAACGCTCCCAAAGACAAATAGCAAAGCCGAATAAAACCCCAGACCTTAAGCGTAAATTCTTCCATGCTGCACTGAACCCCTGCTTGAAGCACTACCTTGCAGAGCCTGTCAAGGAACGCTGCAACGAACCCTGTAAGGAATCAAAACCCCAAGCCCAACCCGTAAACCCCGTAAGCCCTAGACCCTAATCTAAGACAGGGCCGACCTGGTGTGCATCAACGCCGCCGCCTCGGCAGCGGCGGCTGGGCGTCAGGCTGCGGTGGTCGAGGTACCCAGGGAGTGGAGTAGTAAAGGAGGCTTGCTTAAACGGTTCCTCAGGGTATTGCAGGGCTTAGGTTTACAAGAGTTAGGGGCCTAGGGTTTTCGGGTTTCAGGGCTTGGGGCCTTGATTTATGGTGTAAGGTTTAGGTTCTAGGTTGCGGTGGTGATGGTTGTTGTTCCTTGGGTAAGTTCCACAAGCCATATAAACCCTAAGCCCTAAACATGCCTAAGCCCTGAACCAACCCCCCATCAAAAACTCTGGATCCTGAAAGCCCAAGCCCCAAACCCTAAACCCCAAACCCTCAACCCAAGCCCTAAACCCCAAACCCTAAACCCCCCTAAACCCTGAACCCTAAATTCTGAACCCTAAATTCTGATCCCTAAACCCTGAACCCTAAACCCCGGCCTCCAGGAGCTCATTGGGAGCCTGGGAAAGCGGCAGATGGCGCCGGATGCAGGGCTCCCAAAAGGGTTCTTTTAAGGGTTCTTTAGGGTTTAGGGGTTAGGGTAACTATAAGGGTTCTTTAAAGTTAGAGTTTGGGATGCTTTCGGGTTCATTTAAGGGATTCTAGAACAGTTCTTTACGGTTTATGATTTAGGGTTCCTGTAAGGGTTTGTTTAAAGAGTTCTATAAGGAGTATTCTGCAATAAGGGTTCTATATAGGTCTTCGGCGGTTCCACACTACTGCACAGGAACGACTTTTGCTCCAGGCCCGCGGTCTCCCTGGCACATCGCTAGTTTGGAGGCCGGTTGGTCCCACTTCTAGCATCGTCTCCACATGCAGCGGCTGCAAGCATGGTCCATGGCACCACTGGATGCCTCATCTTCATAGCCGGTTGGGCAGACTGCTTCATGGTGTTTGGTTTCCGCATCGACTAGGAGACCAAGTCGTTCCTTTACAGAATGGGAGGTCCTTTTCGGGCTTCCTCTTCTGGTCTATGCGAAGCTAAGGTCTTTAAGGATTGCACAAAGGGTTTTTCCAAGGGGCCTACACTCTCTTTAAGGGCACTATACAGGGGGATTTCAAGAGAGGCTCCAATTCCTCGCAGGCATTGGTTTTTTAGGGTTTAAGGCTATGAGGGTTTGAACAGAGGGCCTGGGGAGGGTGTCATAGGATCGGTGTTCTGGATTCACGGGTTTGAGGTGTATTTTAGGGCTCGGACACGTTCTTTTGGTTTTGGGCTTGGTGGTTTCGAGGAGATGAGGGCAGGCTTGAAAAACCGACTACTATGATCACTTGTAACCTGCTCGCAAAGACTCAGCGGCCAAAGCCTTGTGAGTTGCAACCCGAAAGCACCGAAGCACTACCCTCTAAATCAAGCCCGCTCCCAGCTTAGAAGCGGGCCCCCCCAACCTCAAAACCTGGGCCCTGAACCTTAAAACCCCAAAAGCCCTAAACTCTAAACCCACCAAAACCCTCCTTTACAAAGATGTAGTCCAACACCTCGATGCCAGCCCTAAACCCTACAACCTCCAAACCTTTCCCTCTGTGACCCTGTAATTAGCTCTGACACGCTAACGGGTTGAACTCTTGAAGCAACCTTACGCAACCCTCATCAAGTCCTACACCCTTGAGCAAAGGTTTCAGGGTTTGGCGCCATGAGTTATGGCACCCTTATATAAGGCCCTTAGCCCAGAATTGAGGAATCCTGCTTACATCATTTTTCAGCATTGCAGGTTCCTGAAGCAAGGACCTTTTTTTTTTTTTCGAAACCCTTCAAAGACAACCAATAAAGGGGCCTTAATAATTACAATAGGTTTTGGGGCGCATGATACCATAATCATTATATAGTAAGGAACCCGAAAATAGTATTAGTAATTAGTAAGGCCCCCACATTAAACGCCGTAAAACCGCATAGCACCCTGTCAAGCGGTATGGGGCTCTCGCGATCTGAAAGCTCCGAACAAGTGCCTAGTAGAAGCTTCATAAAAACCTCGTGGAACCATGAAAAAGCTCTATAGATCCCTTAAACAAGCCTTACAGATCCCCTGTAGGTCCCTGAAGGAACCGGTTTAAAACCCTTAAAGCAAGGTCTATTCTTATAATGCCCTGCTGAATGCCTACGAGCGCTCGAGGCGTTCTCTTCATGGGTTCTCTTTGGTTGAGGAGGCTTTTGGTTTAGGGTTTAGGGTTTAAGGGTTTAGGGTTGAGGGTTTAGGCAGGATTGAAGGTTTGGGGTTGTGGACTAACTTTAGGGTAGGAGCGGGTGAGCGTATATAGGACTCCTTACAAACTGCTCGCGGTTCTAAGTTGCTGACGCCCCGAACCTTGAACCCCAAACACATGTCTATCCCCCAACTTTGACAGCCTTTCTGATTTTGGAGTGGAAATGGGAAGGAGATGACCAAGCAGAAAAAACAACAGAAACATCCTGGACCTTATGACCAGAATAAGCAGCAAGACACGGAGACCCCAAGCCCCCTTCCTGAAGGGACAGCTAAACTCCGCAGATTTTCCACATGCAGCATGAAACGGGGATCTTCATTGCGGTCTTCTAATTGCATATGCCGCCGATCCCTAAACCCTCAACCCTGAACCCGAAGCCCCTTGAGACTTGGCGTTGAGGGTTTACGCAGCAGCGGCCTTGTGAACTTATTGGGCTATTGGCTGGCTGATCGGCTTATCGACTGCCGCTGTGCTATTGAAGCAAGACATCGTAACAGCTGTTATTTGTGGATCCGGCCCGAAACCCCAATCCCTGAAGCCGAAATCCCTCAACCCTAAATCTTTAAGCCCAGATTCCCGCAAAATCCCTACATCCGTGCCTAGTCCAACTCTGTATGAAGCCCTGAAACGATGGATTAATGGACCGCGAGAGGCTTTGGCAGGAGGCTTTGGTGGCACTGAAGGACGCTGGTTTCCGTTCAATGTTCTTCCCCTACGGCTCCAAGTATACAAACAGCAACTGCTTCGGGGTCTCCACCCTAAACCCTAAACCCTAATCCCGAAACCCTCTACTTTGGGCTTTTAGGAGCCCCAGGGTTTCTGGATTCCTTCCGGGGTTAAGGTTTCAGCGCTTGCATAGGCAAAATGGAACGCGTTGGGTATACATCCCGGTAAGTTATGTAGTTATTCAGACGCCGTTCGTCTTTAAGGTCTGTGTCGTCGTGTTGCATTTTGGTTTTGGGGTCTAGTAGGGATTAGGGAGAAGGGTTTAGAGACAGCGTCAGTCCCTCAAAGTTGTCTTGGGGTCTGCCTTTTAAGCTACCATCAGTCTCTTCTCATAAACCCTAATGTTGACTGTATAGAACCCCCCCAAAAAAAAGAACAACAAAGAAACGTAGGCGCAGGTTAAGGTAGGGTTCAAGGCTTGAATCTTATAGGGCCATTTTCTGCAATGGGGTTCAAGGGTTTGGGGTTCAGGGTTTAGGGCAGCTTCGAGGCACAGGGTTTTCTTCTGAATGGTTTCTGGCAGCATTCGATGTCAATGTCAACCGAGCCTTTCTCTACCGTTGGCTATGCAGTTGTTCTGGCGAGTGACCTGTTATAGTTCTTTCTTAGCAGTGGCAACGGCAGCGTATCAGAAACCTCAATATTGAAACAAGAAGAGAGGCATTGTTTAACATACCCTAAGGCTCCATGTACGACGAACCCCTTTAAGGCCTCAGTGCATACTATTTAGGCACATGGAGCCTTTGGGATACTTACATGTATCTCAGAACCTTTGTCCCATGAAAAACAACACAGGAGATGGATCGCATCCATGTGGTGCTATGGCCTTAGCGACTGCCAGCGCTGCGATGTCGCTGCGTTGTACACGAGAACCATGGCACGTTACCCCGAATCCCAAGCCCTAGAACCCTAGACCCCACACTAAACACGAAACCGCCGTAATTCCAAGCCATATGGGCCGTTCTCTAGATTAGTGTCCCTTCCTAGGTCCCAACAAATAGTGTGGCACTCTTTTCAAAGGACCCCAAAAGGGACCCTCACTTAGAGAGCTAACCACCTAGAGGCCTTACAGTACCCTTATACAAACCTTCTATAGAAACCCTTATAGGTCCCTGTAAGGAGCCCTAAAAAGGACCCGAGTGCTCATGCCCAGAACGGCGGGACCAAAGGCCAGATATCATCTCCTTTGCCTCGGCGATGGAACTGGCCTGAGCTGGTTTCATTTGGGGTCCTGCCTAAACGGGGCCTTAATAATTACCTACATGATTTCTGGGGCTCCTTATTATAGTTATTGTAAATATACCCCAAAAACCCTATTCTAATTATTAAGGCCCCTACATTACCTAAATAGAGGTTCCATTAATATGATCCCTTAAATTGGAGGCTCCTACTTGTTGTAACCTAAATGGGGTTCCGTGAATGAGGGCCGAAGTTGGAGGCTCCTTCTGCTTGTAGCAGGGGCGTCCTCTTGTGATTTTTTCGGGTGCTCCAGAGTGCGACCCTGACTTCGAGAATTAGTCAAAACACCAAACCATCGACCCGGTAGCCTAATGCTGATACCAACTGTTTCGGAATCCAACCTTGAAGGACCATTGTGTTTGTGCGATTTACCGCAAGCTTCGTTTCTCCTGCAATTGCTACGAGGATCTAGAAGAGAAGTAGGTCATGGTACTTGTAACCCTAAATCCTCAATTCCCCTACTCAGAACCGAATGAGGGTACAGACTTCACAAGGCCTATGCCAAGAATCGTAATACCCTACAGTAAACCCTAAACCCCCTTAAGCTTCCTCATGATTTGAAGCGCAGAGGGCGATTTGAGGATTGCAAGGTCTTGCAGATGCCGAAGGTTTAGGGTTTCAGGTCCCATGCCCTGGGTTGAGTTCATAGCGGCTTCAGAGTGTTGTTTTACGGGGCTCCATGGGGCAGCTTTGTTGAACTTACGTTTGGGGTTGAGGGTTTACCCTGGAGGCTCGAAGCGGGGTCTCAAGATCCGGAATACTCTACTACTCTACCCTGAAAAGTCCTTGGCAAAACCCCTACGATTTGGGGCACTCGGACCCGCAGGTTGGCCCCGGAACTTGAGATCTTGCGCCTTTTGCTTGCTGTCTGGATTTTGGGTATAGGGTGGTGGGTTGAGGTAATGATAGCCATGTGCACTGCAGCTAATGTGATGTTGCATGTAGACCCTAGAAACCTGAGAGACACTCCAAGGACCTGCAAACCCTAAACCCGAAGCCCTAAACCCTATAAACCCATGCACCCCTAAACCCCTAAACCCTAAACTTTCCAACAAGCCCTACACCCTACCCGTAAGCCCTATAAACCTATACGCCCCTGAACCCCTAAACCCTCAACAAACGCCCTAAACCCCACCCGTAAGCCCTACAACAACTTGAAGCCTCGAGACATTCTGAGGCCGCCTGTGAGCTCTCTGCCCGCTGGGATCTGGCCATGACCTCGGCAGCAGGACTGTTTGGTGCTTAGTAGGGAATGGGGGAATGGGTTATAGGGACTGCTATAAGGGACCTTAAGGGACTATCATAGGGATCCATTCCCCCATTACCGACTTTTTGCAGGGTTTTATTGGGTTGCAAAGGGTTTCGTAGGTTTGGGGTTAAGGGGCGGATAGGGGTTAGGGTTTTTGCTGAGGGGTTTAGGGTTTGAGGAATTACTGCTTTTGCAGAGTTCTTAACAGTAAAGTATCAGAGGGATAACGATAGGGCGGACTTAGAACAGCTGTAGGCGGACAGCATGCTTTAATCATATCGTGACTATAAGGGGCACAAGTAACAAATTCTTCAGACTTCTATGTTAGGTAGTTCCCGCGGCTGCTCCAAGGAGTCCGTGTGGGTAGAGACTCGGGTTTAAGTCTTTGAGGACCCGGAGCGTGAGATTGACATTTCGGGGATGTCTCAGGGCTTCCAAGGGTCGTTGCCTGACCCTCCAGTAGCCCAACCGAACCCCCAACCATTTAATGATTACAGGCGGTTTAAGTCGGTTTTGTAGGGTATTTTTACAAATTAAGCCAAAGTGTTTTCAGGGTCCTATCAGGGTTCTACACGGGTTGTATTAAAGGTTCTATTGCCTGTGGTTGTATAGTATTGAGGCTGACCCAAAATGCCATTTAGCTTCTTGTTGTGATGTGTTTTGGTCTCGCTTGGAGCTCCCTGGAAAGCCTGCAAGTCAGGCCATAGCCCTGTTGGACGAAGCTCGTGCGAGCCTGAGGAACGATTGGCTTGATGTTCTGGCATACGGATTCCGGTCTTTCCGATCTCGGGTTCAGGTTCATAGATTGGGTTTATGCTTGGCCAGGGAATCCGCTAAGGCCGCTAGGGTTTGTATGAAGGCCTAGGCCAGGGGGTTGAACGACAAAGGACCCTCGAACCCTGAAACTTCTGCCCCGCGTGCCGAAACCCAGCAGCTAAACCCCAACCTCATAAAGCCTGCCCGAGATTCTCTCTTTGGGGCCCGGTAATTATTGGAAGTCTCGGTTGGTGGGCTTAGACTGCTGGACTCTGAGGATGTTATATGAGCCCCTTACATAAGGGAACCTTTAAAGGAACCCTTAAGGGGTACCCTTAAAGAAACCCGTATGGTGGGGCGGGTGGTGCTTACAAAGACTTGAAATAGAAATTCCGAACAGCAAGCCTCCTTCGCTCCATGCATCGTGCATTGGGGCTTGGAGTGTCAGGATTTTACAGTTGAGAAATTTTGGGGCTTAGATGGGCTAGAGGTGCGGGGTGTAAGATACCGTAAGCTCTAGATTCCGATTAGTTGGGTTTGGGTTTCGTGCTTCCAGCATAGGGCTTGGAGTATGAAGTTGTCCATTACAGGGCTTGTCTGCCCCTAAAACTTACACCCTAAACTCCTAGCTCAGGATAATTCTTGGGAATGTTGTTCATTTGGGTTCTGCTCCGTTCTTAAACACGCATCTTCGATCCCTAGGATTTATGTCATTGCTGCAGTTTGAGGGTTTAAGGTTTGTAGGGGTTCTGTTTCAGGGTTGTCAAGTTACGGCAAGCACCCCAAGGCTTTGGCCAGTCAATCGGGGCTTTTGGTTGACGAGCTGCTCCGTCATCCCGAAAACTCAGAACCTAGACTCAGCAAGAAAGGCTCGAGGCGGAACTGCAGCCTTCCGTTCAGCCTGTGGTACCGGCAAGAGGAAAGGGAAGACAGAAGACCGATGCATGATGCAAGCCCTCAAAACTAAGCCTCAAACCTATGTAGACCGCTTATAGAGTTCTTATGCAGCCTGAAGCCTTTAAATCCAAGCAGCAGGCGCTCGCCAGCTGCAACTGACGCTTGTGGCTTGCTCCTTGGCAGCACTCAGCTGGGGAACTTGAGACGAAATCAAAATCCATCCAGTTGGTACCGGGCTTACGTAGGGCTTGGGGTTTAGGGGTTTACAGGGTTGTTTAGGGTTTCAGAGAATTTGTCGGGTTTCTGGAGGGTTGATGTGACAATGCAGGGTGTTTACGGGGCGTTTAGACGGTTTATTAAGGATCATTCTACGGTTGAGATGAAGAAAGGCTCCTTGGGGGTTTGTCAAACAAATGTCCTAGCATTAATCCCTTATCCTAACATTAATTTCTAAACCTTAACTTTAGTAAAGGCTCCTTCAGAATCCTGGGAAGGTTTATTTGCGTTCCCCCATAGGGATTCTAGGAACTATAGACTGGGTTCTTGCTCAGGAACTTAGGTAAAGTCATTTAGGCATAATCGGGGTTTTTGGTAAATAATAGGCTGTCCCTCTTATGGTATACGTAACTTAAGTTTATTACATTCACAAGATTCCTGAAGGAAAGGGTCCCTTGTTGGATCCCCAAGACACGGTGCCATTCTCGCAATAACGTAGTGGTTTTGGGGTTGAGGGCTTAGGGTTAGAGAGCCTCGCATGTGGGGTTTGCAAAGCATCCCTTCGTTTCCCAGGACTGTCAAATAAGCCCCTTATAGAGACCCACTAGAGCAAGTATAGAGGCCCCATGAAGATCAAGATAAAGCCCCTATCAAGACCCCATGCAGCCCCTTCAAACATCAAAAGACCCTATGCCTATACAGCCCCTATGCCTATACAGCCCTTTACAAAAATCCTAAAAACCCTTTCAAAGCCCAATATAGACCCCTTTGTAGAACCCTGCAGGAACGTTTCTTGTACCTTTATAGAAACCCAGGCGCTGACGCCAAAAATGAAGACGCCTTCCTAACCCTAAACCTCGAACCGTGAACCCACGTCCGCATATCCCAGAGCCCTCAAGCCCAGAACCCCATTAGGCCCGAGACCCTCGGCCCCGGGCCCTGAACCTAAAACCCCAAACCATCAGCCCTAAACCTTAAACCCTGATTGCTAAACTTGCCCAGAACCTCAGCCCTAAACCCCAATAGATCCGCAAAAAAAGGAACCCTTAAAGGAACCCTACTTGGAGG